TGCTTTGAAACTTTGGAAGCAGAGCAGTGAGTATAGTTTGTTACGTTGGTATGTATTACTGTAACTTCTTGAAGTAAGTTTAGGATTTGTTGTAATTTCTGGTTTGTTTTCGATATGTTTATTTTAGGAAGGAAGTGCAGATAAAATCTTAAGTTCTGCTACATTTAGAACTATTTCACTCTGTTTTTCTGTGGCTCACCTGTGTGGGTTCTCTGGTGACTAATAGTGTGGTTGAACACACTCTGTGCTTCTTTTAAATTGGGTTTCTGTCCTTCAAGCCATAAGTTTTACCTGCACAAAACCCCTAGGCATGTCATATATTTGAAATACAGAAAAAAATTACAAATTTTGCTGAGAATGAAATAACCTGAAGTTGTTAAAGGACTTGGGTATTGTACATCTTATTGTTAAAAAAAAAAAAAGGCAAAGCTTAAAAAACCCCAGTATAAGTAATTTTATTTTTTTTTGGTGACATGTAATTTGTTGAGCTTTTTCTTTTAAATCCACTGAATGAAGTGTCCAGAGAAGCTATGTTAATGTAGCAGTAGCTACTTACTTTAAATTGGAATTACCTGAAGAAGAAAAAGAAGGATTTGGAAAGAAATGGTATCAGCAAATACAAAGATATTAAGCAATTCATTGTTCTGGTTAACACAATAATGTAATAAACTGTATTTTAACATAAAAAACTGTAACTTTAAGTTTGGGAAAAGTAGTGAATTGCCAACTGATCTTCAGCTCTAGTGCCTTCTATGTTTGTTTGGAAAGAAAAGCTATCGTGTTATCACAGGACACACGTTTTGAAAACTTACCACTGTCCTTTATAGCTTAGCTTCAGTTTTTCCCCAGTTAGCTAATCAAGGCTGATAAAGAGTTGAAACAGATTCTTGGTTTATTGTGGTATAGTTTTTTTTTTTAATCCTACTTATCTTTCATTCACACACTTGTACACTTGACAGATGTTAATGAAATGCTTCTTTTGAACTCAACAGATACTATTCTATGAAAACTATCAGAACAGCGATGAATCCATTATCAGTAAAAGACATTTTTACCACTTTGATCTCTGACTATTTGGCTTTAATCCTGGTCACCATACATTGGCTTTCATTTTACATTCAGTTTATGTCTGGCTTTTGTTCCAAACTAACAGATAAAGCTGAGTGCTATTCAGTCTGAAAAATTTCAGACTGTTTATGCTGGCAGGTGACGTATGACATGATATTGGCAGAGATGTGCAATCCGAGTGCTGGGAGACCTCAATTGTTTTAGTCTATTGATCTGGAATTTGTGTTTTCCTGTGATGTTTTACTATTTCCCAGGTGTCTGAAGAGAAGTTGCTTGACTGCTAGAAAGGACTATCTCTGCAGAGAAGGAGGTTATGGCATTGTTAATTTTTGACATCTTTTTGTAGACTTGCCCTGGTTAGAAGTCGTGAAGGGAGCTGCATGGTTTGGACTGGTGGTTTGGCTTCCCTGGGCTTCCGTCCAGGCTGGGAAGATCCCAGCTGTGTGACTCTGACCCCGTAGGCAGCCAGGCTTCACTGCTCCACTGCCTGGGATGTACACAGGCCATGAACTTGCCTTTCCTTATGTCTTAAAATGTAAATACATTTTCTTTACAAATAATTGCAGATGGTAACTTGAATTTAAATTCTTTTTTTTCCCCTTTAAAAATAGGTATTCTAAAGGTCACTTTTGAATATGTACTTAAAATGGAAGGTAGAATCTGGAAGAGGACCTGTTTCTTAGGGGTGTTGGATTTGAGGTTTTTGGCTGTTCGTTTGGGATTTTTTTCATTGTTTTTGTTGGGTTCTTTTATATTCTGTGTGAATGACCAAAATTTTGTTCTGGAGTGTAAGAAAGTCTGATACATTTTTGGCACATGAAAAAATGTGTCAGTGCACTTTTTTCCCAGATAATTGATATTTTGGTCTGTGTCCAAATGTTTCAGTCATTTTTTCAAGAAGTGAATGATTCAGGAGATCTGGGTTATGTGTGATTGTTACTCATTTTACAAAAATTGTTTTTACTTTGATTCAAAAGTCTTCATCTCAAACTTAATTTTCCATGCCACTTGTTGAGATTAGGAAGTACTCTGCAGATCTACCATCAGCATCAACTTCACTGAAAAACAAGTAACCCCAAAACTTCCATACCTATCCTTTCTTTAATTATTGTTATGATTATTATTGCATTCATCATTGCATGGAGCCACAAACATTCCTATCATGAGTATACACTGATGTACAGTTTTATTAGTAATCTGTTTTGTCCTTGGACATAAGCAGGAACTAACACTTTTCGTACCTAGTGGGGGCAATTATTCTGGATGTTGTCAGTGAACAAAATAGCAATGTGCTCCTTGCTTGAGAAAACCAAGCAGTTTGTTCCCCATCTCATCAAGTTCCCGTACCCTGTCGGTAGCACTGTTGGGCTTTATGCTTTCCACGGAAAGCTTTCCCCACCGTACTGAGAATTACCGCTATTGTGTCTCCTGGTTCATGTTTCTGGAAAGCCATGCCAGTGCTGGTTGGAGAGGCATTGATGTATTACGATGAGCAGACGGAGATTTTAAGGTCATACGCAGTTCAAGAGTGATTCACAGGCCTTGATACTATGCATCTCCACAGAGACGGCGATTTACTTTGTCACTGAAAATAAAAGAAGCTAATTTATAGGCTTCTAACACTAGAAGTGCTTTTTAAGCTCGTGTGCAATTACACAGGAGGGTAGAAATCTCTTGAGCTTTAGTGGTTTTGTACAGTATATTAACTTTGAAAATAAAATCTGTATCCCAAATGTGTATGTTGCAAATGAAACGGTCTGTAAAAAGTACCGGTTGCAAGGAATCACACTAAGTTGATTTATGCAGAATTTAGGAAGAACAATGATCTTAGCAGTGTTTCTGTATTTGTGTCTTACTTCACATTTCCTTTATTCTTGTTTCTGCCTGGGATATTCTGCATGGTCCTTTTGGCTTTCCTGATCTGATTCTCAGATGTGCTCCCATGCTGCATGGTGTGCTGGAAGCAGTGTATGGTTAGTGCAGGTCCGCCCACGTCTGCTTTCATCCAGATAGTTCTGAAATCTAATATTCCCTTGATGGGTATCTCTTCTGCGTCAAGTGCTTGTTTAAAATAAGAATTTGTTTGCCCCTCGGACTGCTTGATAGACCTGCGATGTGACAAATGGACCAAATCCTGGAGAAGAGAAAGCTCCGCGGAGACCTTATAGCACCTTCCAGTACCTGCAGGGCCTACAAGGAAGCTGGGAGGGACTTTTTACAAGGGTCTGTAGTGACAGGACAAGGGGTAACGGGTTTAAATTGGAAGTGGGAAGATTTAGATTAGATATCAGGCAGAAATTCTTCCTGGAGAGGGTGGTGAGGCACTGGAACAGGTTGCCCAGAGAAGCTGTGGATGCCCCATCCCTGGGAGTGTTCAAGGCCAGGCTGGATGAGGCTTTGAGCAACCTGGTCTAGTGGAAGGGGTCCTCTGCCCATGGCAGGGGGGTTGGAACTAGATGATCTTTAAGGTCCCTTCTGACCCAAACGACTCTGATTCAAATGTTGGTATTTTTCAAGCGATGTGTCTGCACAGGTTTGCCCTCTGTGCACAGAGCAGTCAATTCTCCCTGACTGTGTTTTTACTCCTCTCTTTTATCTTCAACATGTGGCCTCATGCCTTATCTATCTTGCACTATTCCAAGCCTGTCATGAGCACAGACCTGTTATTTTCCTGTCAATCGTGTCCTTCGTGCTTGTTGCTGAAGTCAGAGTGGCTGGACATCACGACCCCATGAGATGCAGGAACAACTTGCTGTTTGTGAAATGGGGATGTGGCACAGAGATGGGGTCAAAAGGAACCGCTGATTTTTGGATGCTTAATGTGAGAATAACCCAGTGATTTTTTTTTTTTTCAGGGCATGTAATACTTCAGAGGGGAAAAGTACACATTAAGAACTCGGAGGGAAGAGGGGGCAAAACTCTTATCTGAATAAGACCATAGAAGTAAGACAAGCGGGTGAAAAAGGAGAGAGACAGAATTAGTGGGAAAGGGTGAAATGTCAGGTTTGAATAAAATGCCTTGTGTTTCGCTGTCTGTGGCAAAGGCAGGTCTGGGAGCGATTGCCAGGCTAGTGCTCAACTCTTTAAATAGAAGAGCCGTTGCTCCCCCTGTCTTCCTTGCAGTCCCCTCCCACATTCACTGCATAGTTTCAAACTTCTGACATGAGTGAAGTGGGCATCTGACAGACAACAGCCTTCTTCACATACACAGTCTTGATTCTTTCCCGGAGGGAGTCTGTCATGTGCAGTGGATGCGGCAGATGTTCTGCTATATCAAAACTTAGTAACCATAGTTCATATACCATAGTTCATATACTCAGAGATGGAGGGGGTGGCTGAAAACAAGCTGGAAAACTTGATTTATTTTAATCCTTAGAATCACAACCCTTAATTAACTTAATATTTCGTTCAGTATAGAGAGAGTTTCTGTCTGCAACTTCTTTGAACTTCAGTAAAAAACAAACAAATTGAAAGCAACAAAGCTTGTGTGGTGTTGTCTGAGCTGTGGGGGTTTTGAACATCCATAATATGAAATAATCAGATCTGCTGTCCCACAGCTGTTGGAGCTAACTGGCTTCCCAAAGTTAGCCATAGTCTGTAATTGTCCCTGTGGATCGCAACTGGAGAAACATGTGGCATGTCGCTGAATTGAAGTATTTGCTGGCAGTATGGCAGTAGAGAAGCTGACCCCTATCAGAGCGTAATCTTGCCTGTCTTGGTGTCCCAGGCCTCCTATCTCAGCTGCCTCGGTTAAGACTTTCGTGAATGTCTGTCGCTGGTTGCAGGCTAGATGGTCGTCCTGAATGCCGGGGCTGCTGCCATGGGATACCAGCTCCACATCTGAGAGCTCTTGGTTTTTCAGATGGACCTTTGGATACAGCTGTAACACCTTGTGTTCTTCAATATGTTGGTTTTTTTTTTTTTTATCCTAGGTCAGCCAAGCCTCCGAGAAGCTATCTCGATGTCCTGTATAACTAACGGGAGTACAGGAAGCAGGAAAACAAGCCATGGTTCATCTGTTTCTGTTGCTCGAAAAGAAACTCTTTCATCTGCTGCAAAAAGGTACCGACTTGTTATTAAAATTGAAATTTCTTTTTTTAAGAAAAAACAAGCAGAGCAGGAGTTTTTGATTTTGCTTCTGCATGAACCTAAGCAGAGCTTTCTGAAGTCTAGTAAGTCACAAATAAATTTTGGAGATGTACCGTGTTGTTGAGCTGCTTACAGCAGGGTTCTAGAAAGAATTCATAAATAGAGAGTATTTCTATAGTGTATGGTGTCCACAATGCATTCTCACTAAGGGACAGAACAGGCAAATGTATTTCCAATACAAATGAAATTTTTTTTCCTTCTGGTATTCATCTGCCTATTTATATTTTTTTTAAAGGAAATTAAAGAACAAAACTGACTTCATTGTCTGGAGTGTAAATAGTAGGCAATAGCAAAGTAGCTGTGAAACAATAGTGAATTGTGTAATATAAAAGTGTATATTTTTGTGTAGAAAATCTTAACCCAAAACATGAACACTTAGTCTTTATGAAGAATCTCTCTATCAGATCTCAAGTGTGTATAAATAACACGGCTTGAGTATTTGTAAGTTAAATGAGCTAAGCACCAAACAGTAGCTATTTTTCCTTCATGTAATCGTTTCAGCTGCATACAGTAAACAGCATTTGTATAACTACTTTCTTTTGTGGGTCTGTTAGGTAGTGATTGCATGGTTTCTTCAATCAGTGGGTTTTGCACCTATTCCTATTTGTTGGGAAGAACAGGCTGCCAGATATAGCCACAGGACAGAGAATACTCTAATGTATAACCCTGGTAAATTACGTGAACATATTCTTGGCCTCTGTAGAATACTCTGGCAACTCAGGTGGCTGCTTTATCTTCTAGTTTGGCTGTGAATACTCTTCTGTACAAGACGGGGAAATTATATACTTCAGGGAATAAAAGTGCTGCATGCAAATGTAAACTGTATGAGTACAAACCAGAAGAAGTTTTAGGGCCCTTGGGATTTTGGAAAGGAACAGTAATGCCTTGCTCTCTGTTCTTCTCCATTGTGTAGCATTGCATATCTTTCTTTTTATTGAATCCTTATGTTTACTTTTCAACAATAAATCAGAAAGTGATACTTTGTCTTTAACTGCTAGTGTGACAGGCACTGGGACAAAAGACAGTCCTACAGGAAGGTAGTTCTTTCTTAGCACTTTTCCATTAATCTTATCTCTGTGGCTCTGGGCACTTTGATGAGAGCCAGTCCAGTTCCTGTGGTATTCAGCTTGCGTTTGGGCTGAATCACTTTCTTAATCCATTGGCTGCCCGACACGACTGCAGAAGTGTACAGTGGAGTGGGCAGCATCCCTTTCATCTGGGTTAAGGTCTTTAAAAGGAGACTTGGATAGGTCAAAAGAGGAAAACCTTAATATGCAGAGGGCAGCTCTCCCCAGGCCCCCAAATAACTCTTCATGGGAGGTTTTGATGCTTCCAGTGCTGAAGATACGCGACTCCGTTCCTCAATGCTTGTGTTAGGAAGGCCTAAGTTCAGTTATCTTTCCAGCAGTTCCTGTCACTGTCTTGTCTTTATACATTCTTCCATGAAATCTGTTGGGAATTTGGAAGAAAAGAAATAGACTTGCCTTTTTGTAAAATTATGAGCCCAAGAAAGGTGGAAAAAAAAATGTCTAATCTCAGTCTTGGCAGACATGTTTTTTTTAGTAACAGCAAAACTCTTCAGGACCAAACAGAAACCTCGTGGAAACACAGGTGAACGTCAGTAATGATCCCAGTTCTTCAACAAATTTAGGGTAAATGTCTATTTCTAACACCCTTGTTATGGTGAAAAGGAGGGAGGCCGAAGGAGAATATCAGCTGGTTGTGGGATGCTTCACCACAGCTTTTCCAGGCGTTTCTTCAGGCTGAAGGTTGAACTGGTGCAGCAGCAGGTGGACATGGTCATCTGTTGATGCAGAATTATGCTTTAGTTAGCAAATGGACCCCATAGCCTGCCTATAGCTTTTCATGTTCTAAGTATACGTAGCCATGCAGCTAGTCACACATAACAGAGGGACTGCTTGTATCCAAACTGTTCTTCTTATTGAAGTTTAGTGTCTGTGTTTCATGCAGTCTTAATATTGTACATGTCTGGGGCACTGGCCTCTCTGTACCTGCCATCCCTGAGAATTTCTTCAATGAATAAGCAGTTTCACTTTCTGGACTGCTGAATCCTTGTTCTACCAAACTGAGCATGGAGATGATGTGATGGCTCAGTAGCTGTACAGCAGCAGCACGTCTCATTTCAACAGAGGTGTGCTAAAACATCAGCAGACGCTAAAAACGGAGCCCAGGAATGTACCACGAACAACATGTAGATGATGTTCCATTGACACAGAGGAAGTCATGTACATGTTGGGAAAATTTCAGCCCCGTAGTCTGGAACTGACTTGCGATAGGGGTGTTGAAACACTTGAGAACAAAAAACGTGCCGTATACCTTGTATATCACCAGAGTTTGGGAACAGGTTTGTGGTTTGTACTGCAGATGACTGCCACAGAGACCTGTTTGATTTTTTTTCTTGGGACTAAACATTCTTCTGAAAACAGGTTCTGGTGAGAAAAGTCTTTGTGTTTCAGAATGACCACCCTTCACAGTAGCTGCCAATGTGTTGTGGTCTAAAGGATGAAACATTGTGCTAAGTGAAATTAGAGAATCTGCAAATTAGGGCAGATGATAATAGCTCTCAACTGCTCACATGTAGACCGAAGAAATGCCTCATGGAGTTGGGATTTGGAAAGAATTTTTGGATGCATTGAATGACTGCTTCCCAGAACAACGAGTCTTTAGAAACCCACAAGAGAAGGTGCTGGTTTTGATTTGTTTTCAGTTGTTGCACAAGACCTAGTTGAAGAGGAATTGCTGACAGAGCCACTCTCTAATGGCCAGTCATAATACAATTAGGCTGAAGATTTTAGCAGAAGTGAGCAAACCAAATGAATTCACCACAAAGATATTCAATACCCAGACTGCCACATACCTACGTAACTTGCTTTCAAATTAAACTGGCAGTAAAAAAAGAAGCCCACTTGCAAGCTGGTGGTAGATAAAAGCACTGTATTAGAACTCAAGGTATACATTGTGCTGCAACCCAAAGAGAAACCAGAGTGGTCCGGTGGTTGTCATGGGCCAACAGAGACGTTAAGGGGTGAACCTAGGAGCAAAGGTGTGAAATGGATCGTCCACAGTTGACAACCTCGGTGAAGACAGTGAAGAGATTTCCCACACTGAATGTGTGGTTTCTGGGGTATGGCTGAGATGACCTAAATGAGTTTGGGTAAGAATGTAGAAAAGATGAGACCGAATGGGTAAATCAGGTGACACACTGCTGTCAGCAGGTGGCATTCACCTGAGCGGGCTGGAGGATGGCGGAGGTGAGCTGCAGGATTGCTGGTGTGTTGCTGTAAACAGGATATTGCTAAAAGGGTGGTGACAGGGAGTGCAGATAACCATGTCTTTTATGCTAGCATCGGAGACCACACATGGTGCCAGGTGAGCCGTTGTTCACATCAAGTACAACCACTCTTTGTAGACTTGCAAGCTGGAGCCGTGGAAGTTATGTTTGTGTGCTCCCTCTGCTCCTGCTTCTCTCATCTGTTACTGTTATTAGGCTGTAGTTTAAAATCCCCAAATTGGGGGAAGGGGAAAATTGGAAGCATGTCTTCCTAAAGATGATTTATTTTAAAAAAAAAGATGATTTATTAAAAAGAAAGAACAAACAAACAAAAAATAAATGAACAAACAAGAAAGAAACACGCAAAAAACCCCCACCCAAACATTTCTGTCCTAGTAGATGGACTTTGTTGTAAGAAATCCTGCATTTATGGGAGAGTGAACGCAGGGGTCTGTTGAGCGTACCTGTCGGAGGAGGAACAGACACCTCCTTGTTCTCTTCAGTGACGAGAGTTTCCGAGAATTTATTTTGCTTGCCACACAATGCAAAAAGATTAAGATTTTGCATCCAGCAATGCAAGCTAAGTCTTCTGATTAAAAAATAATATTTTTTATGCTTTTAGTTAATTGAGGACCTCTGGCTGTAAATTATTAACCAAAACCCCACAGTTCTTCAAGCTTTGTTCTCTATGATCACATATATGCCCTTAAGAAATGTGAAAGCTCTCTCATTTTGTTTTCATCTGTTTTTCTGAAAGGAAAATAAAACTTTAATGGATTATATTGACATTTTAAAGTAGTTAATATGGTTTACAGAAGAAATCCTGAGTGATCCTTTTAAGTGCATTTTGGATTTCATATTATTTTTCATGTTTTGACCTGTTCTTCAATGCTTCTTTGGAAGCATTTAGAAAAGTTGAACTCGTTTAAATATTGAGGGCTTTGTCTTGGTAGGAGATGTTACATTTTAATGGAATTAACAAATGAAACAAAAAGAGTGTCTTAATGAATGTTACATTAAAATTGGGGGCCCATTTTTATTAGTTTATTTTGAATATTGCCTCACTTGTTCTTTTTTTGAAGGGGAAAGGTACATGGAAACATATATAATTAAGATTATACAAGGGTTAGGGGGGAAGGGAGGGAGACTGGCGTGAGGTAAGAGAAATCTGGATTCTGGATTGCTTTTAACCTAAGAGAAAAATATTTTTTTTCCTTTTTAGCTGGTGTTTGTATCTTGCTTTATTTGTTCACTAAGAAATTTATCTTGGAAGATTTATTTATCTTAAATAAATAGGTTGTTTATTTCAGAATACTCCTCTCTTTCAGGTCCTGCTATTGTTTGTGTGATTCAAGATATTGCAAAGCATACTGTTTTATAGAACAGCCTTTTAATTAATCTTCTGTTTACCTATTGGACCTTTGATTAAGTTCCTAATGAATTTGAGGTTGTTAATGACATGTATTCAAAACTTTCAAATGTTAACCTAATAAATACAGCACCATGAACACAAAGATGTATTCTTTGTTGTCGTTTACTCAAGGCATTAAACAAGTGGCAAAGAGAGTTCGATGTTAGTCAACTACAGATCTAAGCAGCATTGAGTTTTCAGGGATGATTTCCACTGAACTCTGGTGCAGACAGGGAGAGCCCAGGCACCAGCACCAGCATTTCAGTAAAATCAGAGTAAACTTTGTGCAACTACACAGTAAGAATAAGCAAATAATCTTCCATGCCTCCCTCATGTTTTTTATTTTTGGAGCTTGTGAATGAATCTTATTTCAGCAAAACGCTAACCTGAAGAGAGTGACTAAATAAAGTTCATTCAGTGATTATATAAAGTAAGTTGTTACATGCTTCTCCCATCGTTTCACCGAGAGCGTTTTCTCCCACTTTTTTTAATTTATTTGCTTGTTCTCTTGTTTTTTTTTCCCCTGTGTTATACTTTATTTTACAGCGGTACAGAAAAAAAGAAGGAAAAACCTCCAGGACAGAAAGAAAAAAAAGAGGAATCTCATTCTAATGATCAAAGTCCACAAACTCAAGCATCACCTACTCCCCAGTCCTCCTCACAGGCTCTCCAAACACACAGGCAAACTCAAGAAAGCAAGAGTTCAGCTCCAGCTAAAAGGTTTTGACAGTCCCACAGTACAGAACTAGAAAATGATTGTAATGATACTGGTTTGACAACAAGTCATGTGAAGTAGTTCCAATCTTGTGATCAAGTTAATAAATGTTTGATATTTTTTGAGCTAGAGAAGAGGCATTCCACATGCATTGGAACAGAGAAAATAATGTAAAAATGCAATTTTTCTTTGAGTAAATATTTAAGATTATAATTTTTTTTTTTTGTTCTCTGTGATTGAAATCCTCATGTAGCAGATTACCTCTAATCAGTCATTATTCTAAAATATTTAGCGATGACTGACTTGATCCTTCTCAAAATACACTTCATAGGTTTTGTCTGGCATAGCCGAGCTGTGGAGTGTGTTTTGCACATGGCCATTTATTACATCTTCTAACAACCTTTGTCAAATACTAGTATCATTGCAACTCTTCAGGAGTTTTTCTTCCAAAGTTGTTATACAAAGTGACTGCATTTTGTTTGGTTTTTTTTTTTCCCCCCCAAATCCTGCTAGGTTACAGGGTGGTTCACTTCACTTTTATTCTGATTCTTTACATGAGTGAAGTTCTGATTTTATACTCAAATCATGGAGCTGCCTGATTTGAGTGAATGTAGACGGGTTGCCTCTTAAGTCCCACTCATTTTAGTGGGAATTATGAACAGAAAAAATGGTCCTTTTTATTTTTTAATGGCTTTTCAAAGTGAAGGAAATTTTTTTTTTTTTAAGATTTGGGTGATTACTTCTGAGTTTCAAAACTATTGAGATCACCCTGTGGGTTTTTTTTTTTTTTTTTTTTTTTTTTTTTTTTTTTGGTTCATTGACACCGTATCATTTCCGAAGGGGTAAAACTTTTCTTTTACTCTTTGGCATTTAGACTGAAACAAGCTCTTAAATAAATGAAATTTATTCTTCTGATTTTTACTGTAGTTCACAAGATTATGTTGTCTTGCATTGCTTGAATTCACAGCTCTAATAAATATTTAAACTTTCACTTGGCTGATGCATGTTATAACTCTCCATAAAGGCTCTGTCTCCATGTCTTGCACAAACTCTTAAGTTGTCTGAAGCTGAACTTGCGGCCTGTTGTTCTCCCGCCTGGTATCTCACTGTGAAGATGTTTGTCTGAAGTCTTGCTTACTAATCTTTTGCAGTGTGGGAGGGGAAAAAAAACGCATTTTTAGTCTCCTAATGGTTTAACTTGATTTGATTAACTTGTTTGTCACAGGACCTTTCAGCCTCTCGAGGTGCTGTGGCAGGAGCTTGCCATTGCTAAGGTTGCTGTTCGGGACTTCCTCTTGCAAAAAGCGTTTCTGACGGGATGAAGTATGCTACTGGTTGTAGTACATATGCAGACTCTGAATCAGCTGGTGGAAGAATCATTTGGGCTGGATCACTTTTGAATGTTTCCCATCATTAGGACATGTGTGAAATTAATCACCTAGTGACTGCAAAACTTTCAGGTTCCCATTAGTGTAAATTGGCTACAATAAGATTGCTGAAAAATTGTATCAGAATTCATGGATTTAATCGTCCGTAGTATCGGGCCAAACCTAGCTTGCCTTATTCACGCAAGAAGTTTGCAGACATTTGTTTCAAAAAGATTAAAACCATTAATGTAGTTTAGAATGTGCTATCTGCAAAACAGCCATAGGAAGCTGTAATCTGACAGAACTGTTCTGCCTCAGAAATGGGTGTGTTAAAGCTGGTGAACAGTTAATTTGGGGGAAAAAAAAATCTACTTTGTTACCTTCTTACGTGAGTTTTTTTTAAACATAATTTATTCTTTAAGGCCAATATACTGTAGCCTCATTTTTTCAACTTTTGTAATTCATTAGCAGTATAGTAATGAAGTATAGAGTTATTTTGTTCAAGTCTATGTTAGAGCATTTGGAAATGGAAATAATAGATTTGGCAACTGTCTTGCTCAATTGTTTTCATTCATCCAGTTAGAACTCTTTGACTAATCTTTTTTTCCTGTTTCATGCTTCAGCTTGAAGGAAGACCTAGCTCTGCTTTTGTCTCCTACTGCTTGATCTGTCAGTTGCATACCCGTTCCAGTTATTGTTATCTTATCTTGTCATTTTTAAATATATTTTTGTTTCTTCTAGCATAAAGAAATCCTTGACTGCTGAAAAACCTCACAGTGCTTGGGAAAGCTCAGATGACAGTCGTAACAAGCTGCTGAGAGTAGCATCGACATCTAAATTAATATCGAAAGTGGCAAAGAATGCAGACAAGTATGTATCGGTTTGGGATATAAAAGCAAGTGAACTTTAGAGTCAAAATATTATGAAACTGCATAATTTTAGTGAGCTTACTTATGTATATGGTAAGACCAGTTGCATCTTTGTATTTACCAGGAGTAATTACTTGCATAACCTGACAATGTTGTGCACCAGGTCCTGTGAAATCTTAAAATTATTATAAAATGTGAATGCAGGATTTGAGTGTAAATACCTTTTAATTTTGCCCATTTGGGTTAGCAGAATTATGCACGATTAGTTAGGATTAATGGCTTATTAATGCTGTTGTGAAGCTTCCAACCAATTTTTTTCCTAATTAAAACTGATTTGAATATGCAGGTGTATTTCCTTGAAGTTAATTTACTGGATTTGACATGGATATGTGTGTTTCTAAAGTATACTCTAATAATAAGAATATACTTTTATGATTTCAGGTAGGTCTCTCACATTAACTGTTTAACAGGTTTCTAATTGCAGGTGCTAGGTAATAGGCAAGGATCTTCTTTTCAGCTTCACTTTGGGTGGGTGAGGTGCTGTAGCCCATCATTCCTCCCCTGCTCTTCTTCAGCAGCAGATTTTCTCAGTTTGTGGTCTTCCGCAGAGGCCTTGCTGGGGGTGAACAGCACACAGTAGTTACTTCTGCTCCAGTCGTTGCAGGGACAAGGGTTTGCTTTTTGCTGCAGCTCCACATTGTTGACCCCTCTTTTGACCCACTTGCCCTCGATACTCTCTGCCAGTTGGAGTTCCTGCTTGGTATTCACACATAGTTTCTTTTTTTTAACTTTGGAATTCTGCTGTATTTGTGAAATTGTTGTGTTGACTTTTTGACTGACCCCTCTCCTGTTTGCCGAGATCCCCTCAGAATGCTGGCAGCTTCTCCCAGCTTGATGTCATCTGCAGATTTCATACATCTGCTCATTAATCTCCATTCAAATAGCCATTAACTGTTCTGAGGCAGAACTACCTGAAAAACCCTCCTACTATGACAAATAAAACTCTTCAGACGCTTCAGAGTAATTGCCAGTCTTTTTATGATTGTGTCTGTAGTGCTCTCCTTAGCCTGCATATAAGAGCATCAAATACATTCTTAGAGTCAAGAGTGGTGCAAGTGCATTCCTGGGAATGGGAAGAACAAAAGCATTTTAAATTAATCTTGGGTGTGTATATCAGCACATTCAATAAAAGCTTTATGCTTAGCCTGAAGAGTTCTACAGAGCAGTGAAGTGCTGTATGTGAGGAATTATGGGTTACATATTTTGCAAGTATTTATTTTCCTTTCATAATTGGTTTTCACTGTTGGAATTTAAAAGCCCTTTGGCAATTCAGATTATAGCCAGGGTACTGCTAGATAATATTTTGGAATGAAAAACCCTTTGTCTTGATTTCTACTTACCAAGTTTCTTTTCTTACTTTCAGTTATGCTACTAAAACATCTTTCACAACGTGGTATATACTTCAAATTTGCTAATAATAAAAAATAAATTTTATTGACATTTTATGTCTGGGTTTAGGCATGTCATAACAGAGGTATCTTGCTTAATTTTCCTGTGATTTTGCTTATTAAACTCTTTAAATACCTCCCTTCTACAGTCTCTAATGGAGGAAAATCATGTATCTTACAAAAGAGCAGACAAGGAAAGATTAGAATTAACTCTTGTTAGGGAAAGTTGTCAGTTCACAACTTCAAGCTGTTGTATCTTAAAATATTGACAAAAAATAAAGCTTCAAACATTATCAATTTTAGACCATCATCTGATTAAAGACTATTGCCCTGCTTGTGTGCCACCTTCTTATGCTTAGATTTATAATAAAAGCAGTATTTGCAGTCAAGAGCACACATTAATATTAATTTCTTAAGCACATCCTGTGTGCCTAATTTGTAAAAGAATGGGTTGGTATTGTGCAAAGGCATGTTGTTCCATTGCATTTCTCCTTCCCAATTAAGAAACATTGGCCTAATCTGCCTGAAGTTACTTGAGTCTTGTGCAAGGGAATAGAATTCGGCCCCTAATGTGGGCCCCAGGACAGAAATGTTTTACATATGCTTTGCGCTACCAGCCCAGGATATGAACTTTCTTTAGTAAGCTCAGTCTTTAAGCCAGCACTGAGCTGTAAATCAGCCCGATAAAGCTGTAAGAAGTAAGAGCGTTCCCACGGCAGCCCATCATTCAGTGTTTTTCAGGGAAGACTGGGAATCAAGTTTTAATTTTTCGTTTGGCAGTGTGGTGAAGGGTGGTTCTACCAATAGCCAGAGATGACTTTCCTCATGCATGTGCCTGACCCTTTGTCACTGTTAGAAAAATCTGACCTCCATCCAGCTAAAAATACTGGATGCCACTCATACCTTCCTGATGAATTTCAAATGAATTCAAGAGGCGGTTTTATGCAATACGTTTTCCCATCAAGGAGTGTTATTCTGATGCTGGAAGTCGGTATTTCTTCCCTCTTCACAAAAGAAGGATTGGGGTTTTTTTGTGAGTAGTTTATTGGTGGTTCTGGCAAGGAGAGACATCCCGACTGCACTCCTTTGAAGTACATCCAGTAATGCTGCATAGATCCAGTTTAAATGAAACTGCAACTTGCTTACCTTTAATCCATGTGTCCAACAGGGTTAATTCCTAGAAAAAATTGTGGTGTTGTGTGCTGACAGCTTATTTTGACAGGTGTTAAATGCTTTGCGTGCAGGCCTCAGGGTGTTTGGCAGCTTAAAACATTAGGTTATTGCAAGTTTGCTCTCTCAAAATGGAATTTTCCGTGCACAAGGAATATACTTCCGTGATTTATTTTTAAAAGCTTTTTGTTGTTATCACAGTAATTCTTAGGAACCCTTGCCATAGGGCCAAAGACTTTAAGTTACTCAAAAATTATAGTGAACTGCGTAAAATAATATCAGGGTAAAATGCGGTACAATGACCAAGATTAGTTATTTAGCATCCTGTACTACAATTACACTGTACACAAAATCTGATGAGATTGCCAAATGGAATAATGTGTAAGAAGTAGATGGTATTTGTTTGATAAGCATTTCACATATTATTAAGGATATTATTTTGAATTTTTCCCCAGGCACAAAGATGTCATCGTCAGCCAAGGTAAATAAAAGCGTTTACTTTTTAATGCTGGATGAAGTTGAAAAGATTTTGCTTTTGACTGAATAGCGTTTCCTGTAAATAAATACACTGGCACTTACAAAACTGGGATTTAGAGCTAAAATAGCAGTAATAATTACTCCAATAAGTCATCTGGCCAAAAAGACCTGTATACGGATCTTTGAAATTATGGAGAAATGCCTCATCAAATTGGGGCTTTATGAAGGACAGACATTTCTGGTGGGTGGTGGGATGATTCATTTTACTTCTGTGAAACAAAAAAACTTTCTTTGATTATTTTCTCTCTATGTATGTGCATAAATAGAGAGAGGATATGAAAAAAAAAAATATAAAGCTTTGACCTATGTACCAGTCTTCATCCAAGCAGGTGTGAGTGAGACTTCAGAAATAGTTTTAAGATATTTTATTTCTGTCCCATAACCAGCAAAAATGTCAACTCGTGAAAAAAACAGCCAAGGTAAGAATTAAGCTGTGCCCTTTGATCGCTTTCTAATTTAGCGCTCTCACCGATCTTTTATTTGGCTTTTCACCATCAAAGAGCATCAGTGCATGATCTCTTAAAAACTTTGAGCACTTAAATAAGTATTTCAGCTCTCTTATTTTGGAAATATATATGCATATGCACATTGCAATCTATGGGGGGATTATTTGGGGTCAGTCTAAAATAAATTACTGCACACACTCAGAGAGGAGTGTGTGTTCAAATAAGGTTCTAGAAGTCTTGCATTGTTGCCTGAGATATCAGAGTATTAAGAACTGCCAACTGAAAGATTTGTTTTATCTCAGCTTTCTGTCTTGCCAGTATTACACCATATACACACTGATTAGACAAGAACAGAGACTGAGGGCTTTGATATAAGTCTCCTAAAATGAAAAATGAGTCTCTTCTAAAGTGTATGTCTTTGCACCGATGAATCTTGCATTCTGTGTCTACCTGCTGCTGCTGGCTGGTTCAGACAGGAAAAGGAGCTGTCTGTCTGAACGTGGTGGGATGTGACAACAAAAGAAATCCACTTATTCTGTCACAAAACTACTCTGCTTTGATGTCCTGCAAACTCCTGAAGCATGCAGTTTAAAACTAAAGCATGTAATCCAAACGCATGCTGCACACACCATGTATCTATGTGCAGAGGTTCTGTCCCATGCTTTTTTTTCTGCTAATTAACAAACCTGCAGTTTCCGAATTCTGCGCTGTAAGCAAGATTACAGTATGCACAGTTTGATTACTTTTGATCTCCTTCTGAGTTTCTTTCACAAAGAAACACTCAAATTATTTGGAAGTTAATATATGAATTAATGTAATGAAAGCAAAATCAACTTGAACCCAATTGCTTTATTGTTTTCTAATTCATAAAGAAATTACCTATTTTAAAATATTCTGAATTGATTCTTACCAAAAGCATCCTTTGAGGACAATAGGGGTGAAAGAGGGCTCAAGTATCAGGAACAAGGAAGAAATGTTTCTTTATGCCAGGTTGCTTAACATCAACTGTAGAACAGTACGTATGTGCAGCAATGTTTAATGTAAATAGAAAACTAATCAGTAGTGTCCAGACCAGCTGCAATTTAGCTTTGCAAGAATTAAATAAAACAGTTATATTAAAAATAAACTGCCTACCAAACACAACTTTTCACAAAACCAAGTTGCATACAGCTAAAATATCTTCAATACTAATTCTTCCCTTACAATGGGCTTCTGCAATTCTGTGTGTTCTGCCAAGAATGGGCCGTCCTGCAGCGCTCTCAGCCGGGTACCTATAACTATCGTGGCCTCGGTGTGTACCCTACTCCTCTGTTGTGTTGCTCTGCAGATGATGTGAGCTTTCACTGAATGATGAATGGGTCCATGCGGGTCATGCCATAGTCTGTTCTCAGCCCAACTGGAAGGAAAGAGAAATATGATGCAGATGACAGTGGGCCCACATATATGGAAGATGGAGAGAAAGTCTTGTCACAGAAAATGCATTCACTCACGTTATAGAGGCAAAACATCATTCTGCCATTAACATGGATGAAGTTGCAATTAGCAGGATTTGGCCTCCAAAGATTTATTTTTTTCATATGGACCAACGAGTATATTTTTGACAGCTTTTAGATTGTGTGTGTGCGTGTCAGGCTGTGTTAGGTTTTGTGTTGTGTTTACTGTCACAGAAGTAACCACCTGTTAGTTAGTGTGGTTGCAGAGGGATCCCCGACCTTGCCAATATAAGCTCAGCCAGTTCTCTGTAGTGCAACATCCTGTTCCGGGCAGGTCACTTTAGCCTGTTTTGTACTTGGATAGTTGCCGCACAAACAAACCGATACCCAGTTGGCACCTTGACCCAACTGGTCGGAAGGCTGAAGAGCTGCACAGTTAGCGTGGTTCCTGCAGGTCAGTCCCATGCAGCTGGACAACACTGTCTTGGGCAGGGTGGGATGCAGGGTAGCCTTTGCTCATGCTGTTTGTGTAGAACCTTCCTCTTCTGGAACCCAGTGGCATGAAAAGTTTTATGGGTTCAGCTAATAAAGAACCTGCTTTGAAACACGTCACTGTAGTACAGTACCAGAAAATGTAGAGAAATATATTTTTGTGCATTTAGTTCTTAGAATCTTATTTGTCTAGCGGCAGATGTTACTGCAGTATTATCTGTGTTGTGACCATCTGTGTATTTGACTGTGATTTTGGTTGTTATTACATATTAGCTACAAAAGTGAAAGATTTGAGGAGCGAGTGAGAATCTTTGAGCTTCACTAGTGACAGGCCATCAGCTTGGATGCCTGAATTGAATTTGGCCGGGAGTCCCCCAGAGAGCGTGTGTGTAGGTGCCAGCAAGACCTAGGCGATGCTCTCCTGCCAGCAGCAGCGGTGTGGGGACCCACAGCCTGGAGCTGCCTTGCAGGCAGGCACTTGATTTTCCTCTGTTTAGCATCGTGCCGAAGCCATGCGTGTTACCGGTGTTCATCACGGATCTTCTGTCTCAGTACCCGGGTTCGTTCCCTCGGTGCCTGTATCTCTCCCACTTGGGTTGAGTTGCATCTACGCCACGTTAAGGTTAGTCTTATGCACCTGGGTGTAGCTGATGCAGAGGTAATACAGACAGGAACATTTTGGTAATGCCGATCCAGTGAGAGAAGTATTGTACACACTTCCGTGCATTTGCTGAAAAGATTTTTGGGTTCAGGTTTTTCGGGTTATTTTTGAACATTTGTTTATCCTTGTGAACCAGGACGACCTTTTTACAGTGAAATCCAGTACTAAGGAGGTATTAAAATTCCATGAAAATCTAATAAAGCCATGGTTGAAATGAGCAGGTGCTTACTGCAGCCTTAAATGGACACTAGCTGAAGTCACTCTTTTAAATTCTTTACTAGCAGGTGTGTATAATTGCCTGTAAAAGCCATCTTGCTTTTCACATCAGCAGAGAAATTTCTGAAGTGTTAATCCTAAAGCATTCATATTTTTATACCCAGAAATTAAAAACCTGGCATATTTTAAGATTAAAGGTAATATTTTTCACTGAGATTCCATGTTTGAGTTGGTTTTCGGTGATAGCAGCTCAATATATGAATCACTTGTTCACTTATTATAAAGTAATAAGAGACACTTAGATGTTTTTGGATGGCAATAAAAACCATATGTGAAAGAATTAATGAAAAACATTCACTGCATTCCTAAGTTTGTTTCTTTTTAGATTGTGCTTTATTAGTTTCCAGTACTTTTTTCTTCTGTTAGTTTAACTGTGCTATAGTTCTAGCTTCACAGAATGGGGCAATCTTGAAGCACACAGTGGAAAAATTTACTCTGTTGACAGTATGTCCTGTCCACTGAGAGTGCAAAATTCAGTAACCACCGCAGATCAGTGTTTTCATCACTGTCTGATGCTTATTGAAGGTGCTCACGTACCTGAGGACAAATGGAGACCCAGACTCATTATTATTGGGCTGCTTGCTCTCATTCAGGCACAGTGCATATTATTAAAACCATAGATATTGTCAGAAAAACAGACTTCTTGCTGAAGTCAAGATTTTATTATTTAAGTAGGAATCATTTAGATAAAGTCTTAATGAGCTTGTTTGTGTCCAGTACTCCTTTTTGAGTCCTTTCTTCTAATAAAAAGATGGAGTTTAATATTAAACATTAATTATTTAAGTGCAAATGGTAACTGTTGTTAACACCTAGATTCTTGATGTCACCTGGTACATGCAAACCCAGACTTTTAACTGTGGTTTACTCAGTAAGTTATATAAATTTAGTAACCCAAGATCTATTAAGAAATCACAAGGCAAAGCTGTAAAATCATTGCAAACCGAGGCTTTTTTTGAACGCTGGTTTGCATTGCACCAGCGCTCAGTAGTGACAGTGTATGTCAGCAGGCATTGGCACATAGCTCAGGGTGAGAGATGGCAGACCTACAGCCGCATTTTAATTCCACTGTAACTTAAAATGTAATCGTCTGGGCATGGTGGCTGAATTTGGTTGTATTCGTCTCTGTGCTGTTAGCACTGGTTTAAATTAGAAACAGGCTTCTAAGCCTTTGTCCTTCAGTGTAGTGGTCCTACAGAGTTCTTGGACACGGGCCTGAAAGCAGAAAGCTTGTGGGAAAGAAGCTATTTGTAGTATTAAAAAGCATAACTTCACTGGTCAAGCAACTAGAAGGTGAAGACAGATTAATAAATGTACTCTGTATGTGGTAGTTTATTGTATATTATTAGAGAGTTCTGCTTGGCCACGCTAGCTGGAGTCTTTTGGGATTTTCTCTTTGCTTGTGATTCACTTTAAGGGTAAGATTCAGATGCTCAGCAGAAGTAGAACGGAGCTGAGGGTTTTGGTGCATCAGTCCATGCTGCTTTTTCAAACCAGATGAGGGTGGAACCTACTGGAAAATAGTCACTAAGAATTTACAAGATAAGATTATTGCAATGATTCCTTAAGAATTAAAATTTATAACCATGTAGAGAAAGAGATATTTTTGTTATTTATTCACTATTATGCCCTCTCTGTGAGTGTGTTTATATATATATAATCTACCATATGCTCATTAGACTTTTCATTATGCATGCATTTGCTAGTTGAAGAGCAGTTAATTACAGCACAGACTTGCGGGGCTACCTCAGGGTCTTGTCTAAGTAACAGGAATAGTGATATATAAAATATATTCTTCTATTCAGTTTTGTTGAAGAATCAGTAACTGAGGGTGAGCGCTTCTCTCGCACTTCTAGGAGACTACTGTGTATTTCTTGACGGTTTCATTTTGATGCATTTTTTTTGAAACCACGAGGATTTGGGTTTTGTGATGTCACTGTCTTAAAATTTCTGAAGCATATAAACAGTAGCTTTCATGTCTTCTGAATTGCTCTTCTCTGCAGATACTTTTGAGTTAATCTACAAAGACTTCTTTGATCTTTTTTTTCTCCTCCTTTCAATTCCTATTATTTTTATTATTTTCCTCTGAAAACCTTCCATATTCCCCTAAGAAT